GACCTTGGAGGTCTTCTAGTCCAACCCCCTGTTCAGGCAGGAAACCCTACAAATGGCTGTCCAACATCTTCTTAAACACTGACTCCAGTGGTGGGTTTCAAAAATTGTTGGAACCTACTCTATGGGTGTGGCCTCCTTTGTGGGAGTGGCTTGCCGCCCATGTGACCGGATATGAAATTATGAATTAGTACTTAGGTCGGTCCAAGTAGCTATTCAGAAACTCTGCCATTGAAGCATACAAGTCTTAAAGCTGTCAAGTTACAAGATCCTTGGCAGTGGTGGGTTTCAAAAATTTTTGGAACCTCTTCTGTAGGTGTGGCCTGCTTTCTGGGTCCACTGGTGGAACCTTTTCTAACCGGTTCCGTAGATTTGATGAACCGGTTCTACCGAATAGGTGCGAACTGGTAGGAACCCACCTCTGATGAAGAGGCAGAGACACATCAAGAGCCCAAGAAATTTTGTCTGAATGGAGGATTTCTACACCCAAGTTCACATATTCCTTGACCCTCCCTTGACTTGGGTGCGACACAACTTCAAGACAACAGTTCAAAAACAGAATAATTATTTATTGTTCCAGAAGTACATTTCTCTTTTATACATATTTAATAAATGATACAGGATTGTACACATGTTCATTATTTCATTTCATTTTATTTTAAGGTCTTTTCTCCATGCCCCCTCCCTCCCCCAAACACACTCAAGAGAATTTCTGCTACAGGACTGTTTGCGTTCTTCCTTTTTAAAATGCTGCATACAAAGAGGACGAACAGGTAATTTAACAATTTCTATGGGTGCCCCCCCGCCCCCGATAAAATTAGAAACAAAAATCGCCACATAATTGAAAGGAGAAAGACGGGAAGGAAGTTGGAAGAGGAAAACATCTCGGAACATGCATCCATTCAGCTCAACATGCCATTGAGGGCGAGGGAGGGGCGCGGCCATCCCGTCTTGCAAGGCACCTGGAGTCTGGTTTATATTTATTTTACACTTTAAAACACAATTCCTCCAAAAGTGGGAGCCTCTTGCCTTGACACAGTGAAGAGGAGTGAGCTGAAGGGAAGCCCCAAGCTTTGCGAGAATGAGCTTAAGAGTCCTTCTCCCATCTCTTATCCTGCCTTCCCAGGATCGATCAAACAGGACAACGAAGGCGGCCACGGATTCTCGTTAGCACAAGTTTGTAAGTTCTCCTTAGACAAGATCATTGGGCTTCTAAGCAGGTGGTGGAGACTGCTGCCTTTTTCCCACGCCCTATAGGGATGGAGGGGCTACATCTGCTACTGTGCAGAAACCTTGACCCTTCAGCACCAGCCCGTACTTTTAAAGCTACTTAAAGAAGAGGGAGGGGGGGATTGTGGATCAAAGTGCAACTGTAGTCTTTTCCTTATCAAGATATGGTTATTCTGCTAGGCAAACATAATATTTAATCATCCCACTTGTAAAGGGACTTCATAAAGCGTCATGATCTCAAGCCGAAATACTGCATACATATATATATGCATTACCGTAGACCCAAACTCTTTGCTTTAATTCAGATGACTGCTCTATTTGGAGGGAGAAAGAGTAGGGGGAAGAAACATTCCTCCCTTAAGACTGTATATGAACAGTTTTTTTTTTTTTTCTCATGCAACATCACCATTTATGTGTAAAAAGTTGATCGGGCAGTGAAGCTGAAGAAGATATGCGGGAATACTTCCATGTTCAGATGTCCACAGCGAGAATTATTCAGTTTGTGATCTGGATAAAACTGATAACGTCAATAATCTTTCGGAAAGTTTGTTGGGACAGTAAACAGACAGGGAGGAAAATGTTTTAGGTGGGGTTTTGTTTTGTTTTTTGTGGAGAAAAAAGAAATGTTGCATTGCTCTAACAAAAAAAAAGAGAACAACAAATGACAACAACAACAAAAAGACTAGGGACCAATCTCATGTTGCATGTTTATGGAGACGCTACTTCAATCTGGATCACCAATCACGGTGTCTTAAAATGGCTTGATTGTTTCCTTCTTTTGTTTAGCGCACGATTATTGTGCAAATAGTTTGAAAGAGATTTTTAAAAAAAATGCTGAGCAGGCTGCTAGTGCTTCTTCAAGAGGCAAAGCTGGAAAAATATGTCCCCCAATACAATTTCTTCATGAAATGCCCACCTTTATAATCTATATATTTTCATCCAAAAGAAAAAAACATTTGAATGCGACAGTCGTCAAGCCCTTCGAAAAGACTTAGCATTCCACAGTGCCTGATTATTATTATTATTATTATTTGAATGAACACATTATTCCCTCCCCAGTCAAGGTCTCTGTTTTCATGATTTAAAAACCCTCCACCCCAAGAAGACCTTTCCAGCTTCCACCTGAAATGCTTTCGAATGAAAGAGGCAAGAGCTTGAAAAGATCTGCCACTTCTGTCAAGGTGCAGACGTTCCGCTGACGATCAATCTTTATCACTGATTTGTTGGACAGGTAGATGTACCTGCAAGGGATCCCGAAGTCTCTTAAGGTCCAATTCTGCCTAGAAATCAATAAAATGAAGACATAAGTACCATATTTCTCTCCATCATATTCTAGTGTGTCAAACTCGATTTCATTGAGGGACGCATCAACGTTGTGTTTGACCTCGGGGAGCCGGGGTGGGCGTGGCCAGCTTGACATCACTCGTGTTGAGAGTGCCTGTGTGGATCTGAGCACTCCGCCAGCGAAAACGGGCTCCCGAGCTCTGTTTTTGGCTGCGACGGCGTCCTGCAACCCTCTGCCACCAAAAATGGAGAGCCCTGTGGGCCAGATCTAAGCACCCAACGGGCTGGATGCAGGCCAAGGGCCTTGAGTTTGATTCCACTGCTCTAGTGTAATGCATTACAATAGGGGTCCCCAACTCATGGGCTGCAGACCAGCATCGCTCCGCGGCTTGCCAGAAACCAGGCCGTACATGTGAAAGAGGCCTCATTCGCACATGTGCGGGATGCAGGCAGCGCATGAAACCACGTTCTCCCTTTCCGAAGAAAAAATTATCTCCACATAACCGGCTCCTGAAGCTAAAAAGTTTGGGGGGTGGCTGCATTACAGGTAATCTCATTCCAAGTCAACATATCTACATTCACAAAAGGTCACCATAAAAAACCCCATGACTTTCCCATGAGGTTAACATAAGTGTTGAACCCATCTTAGACTATATGTGCAGCTAGTCCTTGACTTACAACCAGTAGTTTAGTAAACATTTGAAGTTAGAATGGCACTGGTAAAAAAGTGGTTTATAGCAATAGCAATAGCAATAGTTAGACTTATATACCGCTTCATAGGGCTTTCAGCCCTCTCTAAGCGGTTTACAGAGTCAGCATATTGCCCCCAACAACAATCCGGGTCCTCATGAAGGATGGAAGGCTGAGTCAACTTTGAGCCTGGTGGGATTTGAACAGCCGAACTGCTGAACTGCAGT